ATGCTGCAGCCTAGCGTTTTATTTTAAAACAGCGGGCTTGACCCTTTTTTAAAATCTTCTTTTTTGACTTCTAGAAGCAAAAGTATTCAACGGACTTGGACAGCACAGGTAAAATACCGTTTGATTCAAAAAGCCTTCGCAAACGTATGACAACATGTTTTAAGAAAAAAGAAAATCTTCCGCTTCATCGAAAGCCAGCTCCAATATTTTCATCGGAATCTAAATAATCGTAGTTTTTATCCCAAACGGTAGAAGGCTTGCTGCTTTAGGCTGATTTTCCTACTAGCTTATGATGTATTTTGCTGGAATGGCAAATAACCAGGGCGTTGCGTAAACTCCTAAATTTGGTATCGTGCTGATGACCGATTCTACACGGAGAGAGAGGGGAACGTCTTACAAAGGAAGATGAAAAGCAAGGTGAATAGAAAATGGGGGAAGCTCGTGAGTACGGTCGTAACAAGTAATGCAAAATGGCATCACGTGTCGTGGTAGAATCAGCCTTTATCGAAGTATACTTCCTGCCATCAAAACTAACAGCCTCTGTGTTTGCCAGAGTTAAAATCCCTCAAAGTAACGTAGAAAACTTAATAGCTCATTATCCTATCAAAATGTCAAGGAGTGGTAATTATAGATAAAATTTACCCCCTGGTGTAGGAAGTCCATGTATGATGCAGCGATAATGCTAATCGGTAATGGTAATCACTCTGCCTTGATCAAATTTCGTAGACTCAGATTCCATCGCGATAACCTGCAGAAGAAGGGTATGGACTGTCTGAAATCCAGGTGTGCCTCATTAGAACGCAGAATTTCCCGATTCCAGTTTATTACGGTAGTTCTCTGAAAGTGATTATTAGACAGAAGTCAAAAAGTGATTACTTTCCCCCTCTCGTTCTCGATCATTATGATACCCTAGTTTTGTGGTAGGTAACCGTGTGTTAAACCCTGATGCATAGACTGCTTGTCTGGGTTATCTAAACTAGTTGCGTCACTGTCGCGGTTTTCCAAAAAGGGAGGCACATCTGCAGATGGCATGTGTTACTCGGATTACGCTGAGTCTACATGAGTCTATAAACGTGGCGCCAAATGTGTGCGGAACACTTTAGAAGGAGAGTCCCGCCTAGTTGACCACTTAAATCCATCTCTTACACTAGTCGAGTTCACTCGAGCAGGCCAGTAATGCTTAGGGCGGAGAGAGAGAGAAAGAGAGTACGGAGAAACGGTGAAGTCGGTACTGAGCGAATTTACTAATTTACATATGCGCTAAAAGTCATGGCTTCGGAGATTGCCAAGTGAGAGGGTAAATGTTGTATATTAGGATCATATTCCTGAGCATATTCCGCTAGTCATGGAGCCCGTGGCGCAGTGAAAAGAGCATTGGACTTTTAACTGACAGCTCGTGGGCTCGAGCCTCAAGCGTTGCAACACATAAGGTTGGGTATGGCTGGCTGAAGACAACTACCAAGCAGCCAGAAACGGCAATTTAAGTCAACCGGTCTTTTTCTCTATTGCC